CAGTGCCGGAAGGGGACCTACAAGAAAGCTGGAGAGGGACTTTTAACAAGGGCATGTAGCGATAGGACATGGGGTAATAGCTTTAAACTGAAGAAGGGTAGATTTAGATTAGATATAAGGAAAAAATTCTTCACTACAAGGGTGGTGAGGCACTGGCACAGGTTGCCCAGAGAGGTGGTGGATGCCCCATCCCTGGAAGTGTTCAAGGCCAGGTTGGATGGGAAGGGCAGATTTAGATTAGATATAAGGAAAAAATTCTTCACTACAAGGGTGGTGAGGCACTGGCACAGGTTGCCCAGAGAGGTGGTGGATGCCCCATCCCTGGAAGTGTTCAAGGCCAGGTTGGATGGGGCTCTGAGCAACCTGGTCTAGTGGAAGATGTCCCCGACCATGGCAGGGGGGTTGGAACTAGATGATCTTTAAGGTCTCTTGCAACCCAAACCATTCTATGATTCTATGATGTGGTCCTAACACTGGAACACCATCTGCTTTTATCTGCATGTACTGATCCCTGGACAGAGCATCAAAATGCACATCTATGCACCATGCCAGATTGTTTAGCTGAAGTACGCATGAAACTTCAAGTGCAGACAGTGGGTTAAGTCAGAGTGCAAGGCTGGCCTTAGCACACTGCCCTCATTACCACTATTAAGCAGTTTGATCTTCAACACTAGCAGGCCAGAAAACTGGCCCACGGGTATCTTGCAGTAAAGACATAAGCCACTTCTCAGTTGGTTTCATCTGCACCTGTACAAATTTGACTTCTCCCACTCCCCACTGAAGTGAGCTGTTATTTCCAGAGACACTAACAGCTAAAAGGGAAAGTATATTTCCTATGGTCACAAGAGAAAACAAATCTGGCAAGTGAAAGCAAGTCACTGTGAACAGAAGACACAGGAAGAAGTATAGTCTAAAGACCTTATTCATCTTACCTTCAAGGAACGGACAGTGAATTAGACTTCACCAAACATGACAATAACCCATTGCAAGGTCTCCCATCACAGAATGTCATCTGTCTTCATGCAAGTGGGGGCCAGGCCCTATCCAGGCAAATACCTGTGGTTATTAGTACTGACTAAGTTCAGCATTTGCTGCTGCCCAGCCTGGGAAGAGGCGGTAGCCAACACAGAAAACAGCTTCTCAGCTATGTAAAACCATTTCTACACTGGAAGAGCTCTAAAGCATCCAGCTCACTGCAGCCGCTTCATGTGTTGCTGGTAAGGGCAAGGACCTAGAGAACATTTACTCTACGTGAAAAAACACATGGGTTACCTGAAAGTCAAAGGAAATCTGAGTTGGCTGCGACCTCTGTTCTTCTACAGGTCTTCTGCTGAAATGACTTTTCAGAATTTCTGAGCCTAAGTATTTTCCCCACTCATGGAATAGTGACCAAACTAACAAGACTGCACTGGGTAATAATTTTTCTGCTTTAATAGCAGATTAATGCTTCTGGGGCCACCAGGGCTCATCTCATCTCCTATAAAGGAAAAATACCTCAAGAACCTCCCAGCCACATGGCAAGAAAAAACATCATCACCTCCTTTGTTACTTTCTCCTGTCCTTGCTCAGATATATTTCCATGGGATACGGCTCAGGAACAACAACAGATTAACAGATGCAGAGATCCAGGACCGAAAGTGTGTTCTGGAAGACCTGAACAAATGAGTGTGCAGCACCTCCACACAGCTCCCATCTCTGTCTGCTCACTCTGAGGAATTTTTTCAGAGAAAAGACGAAACTTCTGAAACTACTGACCTGTGCCTCATACCACTGAGCTGCTTGTTCAGTCAATGTCAGCCTGAGGTGAGATTCCCTGGCTCTTCCTCTGTTTGGGCTCTGCAGCTGCTGGAAGACAACTCTGACAGGGTCTGTCATATGGAAGCAGTGCAATCTGTACGAGGACTAGAATGGGTAAAATAACCAAAGAGAGAAAGTTTTGAGCACAGTGAAAAGTAATGGGCACTGTGATTTCTTTTCTCTTACAGTCTTTATGGGGGCTACACAGGATGAAAGCAAGTACACTTCCAGATAAAGTCCATTCTAACCTCACGGTAAGCAGCTCCACTGTATTTTCCCGAAACAAAGACATTGGTGACAGTGCTCTCGTGCTCCTGGTGTTTTTTAATTACAGTAGTCTGAAAACTTGCCTGCTCAGGGTCTAAGTGTAGTCTTCTAATAGATATCACAGATAAAGCTCTGCCATTTCATTTCCCCATTCAGTCCAAATCCTCAATGCAGTAACAGTCACTTCTACTCCTGATATTTAACACATTCAGCTCTTTTGCCCATTTCCCTTCTGCTTCTTTCCTTCTAGAAGATGCTCCCTTCTCTTCCCCTAATTTTCTCCTATAAGCAGTAGAAAGGAAAAGATTAGACTTTATTAGAAAACTCATTTTTCTCCAAACTCTTTTCCCAGCTCTGAACATGCAAGAACCAGAGAGCACAGAAAGTGCTCCAGGAACCCAAATCTTCCAGACATCAGGCTGTGCTCTCCAGTCAAATCCAGGAGTTTTGCCCAATAACAGGCAGCTCATAATCAACATGGAGTTTAGTTTAAAAACCACAAAACTTAACACATTCTTACAAACATCAGCATTTATAGTTAGCATGTAACTAGACACCTTATGGAGGAATACAAAGGGCTGTAAGGAGATCTTTAAATAGTTACTGTCGAACAATCAGAATTAGAGGAACCTCAGTCACACTCTCTGGTCTGTGCAGTACACAAAGTCAAACCAAGGGAGCCTGTTCATCTGTTCTGCCCTATGCCTATGAGTTAGTTTGCTTATTTTTTAAGAGTATCATTGAAAATATCAAATACAAACAGGCACATATTTCTAGCTTGCAGAAACTAAAAGATCCCCATTATCATTGGCTAAACCCAAGTAAGAAGCAAAATACATTACTACTGAGAAATTGGATTCTTAACATCCATCAATCATCTGACTTCCAGTTTTAAAAGCCCTGAAATGTACGTGTTTGTATGCTTACAAATGGCAGTAGCCTTTTAAATTTCCTTGGCGTAAAAATAAAAGCTTTCTAAAACCAGTTTTCTGCAATGCTGTCCCTATTGGATATCTTGCATAGTCCACCAAACATCTCTCTAAACACAGGGAGCAGACCACTAGCCTTCTTTAACAATTATGTCAAGGGAGAGCAGCTACTGTTTTGCACACTGCTTTGGAAATACAAAGCTCCACATTACCACACGATATCACCGGTGTCGAGACCAGAAAAGGAACCTAGTGGCTGGCGGAAGCATAGGCAGAATATCCCAGGCTTACCACCAACTCCCCTGACACCCATCAACGACCCAGTCCGCACGTACCTCAGCCTCTGCAGAGGCATGTCATTCTCAGAGCAGTACCAGGCAAGGAACTCCTGGCTCATAGCTTGTGTAAAAGCTCTGGCCACCTGCCTTGTGCTGGACTGCTGTTCCCCAAGGCAGGACAGCTATCCACCAGGGCTCACAGGAGCTCCCACTGACACACAGGTGGCCAGCTCCATCAGACTGTCAACATCATGGCAGAGAGAAGAGAGTCAGTCTAAGAAAACGAGTGTTTAATCAGGAAACGAGAAGAGACAAGGGATAAGAAACTGATAACAGGAGAGTAATACCCCAGCCAAAAGAAACACGATTGTACAACTTGGAACGACCAGGATCAAAACATCCTACAAGCCAGCAGGGCCCAGCGAGGGACACTCCTGAGAAAGAGCCCAAGCACTTCTGGCAGTCTCCAAGCAGCTCAGCACAGTCATGGACTCTGACTGCCCAAGCTCCAGCCTCTGCCCTCAGCAGTTGCTGCAGAAAGCCGCAGAGGTGGCCCTGGCCCTGCTACTCCAGTCTCAGCTTCTCTCAGCAGGAGGTGCTGAAAGGAATGGAGGGAGCACTGGCTGTGCACAGCAGTCCCAGCCTCTCCCGACAGGAGATGGTGTGTGGAGTAAGAGAAGCCCATACAAAAAAAAAAAAGAAGTTTACATATTTATAAATGCCAAAATAAATATTTAAGACAGAATCCCCCACCCCTCTAACACGTGCGTAATCACACTGCAAACTGCTCGCAGGACAGCCTCCAGGGGCTCAGGGAAAAAAGCAGTGACTACACCACAGGGCAGCCAGCTCAACTTCCTTCTCGTTTCCTGATGCTTCTGAAGCCTGCAGCCCACTGGGAAGGAGGAGGAAGAGCGAGCAAAGCAGAGCGCCAACACGCAACAGTGCTGGAGAGGAATGTCATGGTATAAATACATCAGATCAGTGGTTTCCAACAAGTTAAAACTAAAATAAAAAAGACACCAGAAGGAAGGATGGTGTAAATGGAACTACAACTATGTGGGGCAAAGGGTTGTGTGTCCGTGGAGCTCCGCCTGCTGTCACGGCGAGAAGGTGGTCATTTCCAGAGAGACCCTTTGCCACAGCTCCTTTGTCTGCTTGCTGCGCTTTAGGTTCTGGAGAATATCGTTAAACTGCATCATGCCCATGGGAGTCAGGCAGAAGGCGCTTCTGGCGCTGCGGATGGCATTCACAAAGTCATCGTAGTCAGCTGGAGTGAGATGGATCAGCCGATGATGGATGTACTGGATGGGAACAGGGAAAGAGCCTTAAGGTATTTGCTCACCACCCTCACGCTGGTGACACTCAGAGGAGGACTCAAGAGCTGCCAGGGCGATATGTCACATGATCCTGTTACCCCACGAGAGGTCCCAAGACTCAGAGGCTCTGACAGAGGAGAGCTAGCTCAAAAGGCAGCAGTGCTGTATCTTACATCCTAACACGGCCAAGGCGAGTGTCCCCTCAGAGCACCAAAATGCACCACACAACAACAACAGGTGCTCTCCCCCATGAGCACCAAATTGTGCCATAGTACAGCGCAAAAGGGCCAGCTAACACTCTACCCCACCACCCACCAGCATCTAACCCTCATACCATTCATTCTGCAGGTTATACGTGGGGACCCAGCATGTTCACTGGACATCTACTTTGCTAACGGGTATGGAAGGAGTAAGGCTTACACTAAGTTGCTACAAAATACCTCTAGGCTTAGCTTAGCACTGTCACTTCCATCAGCTTCTCAACTAAGGCCCCAAAACTGCAGGTCCAGCTTTTGAGAAATCTATTTCCCTCATGTAGCTCAGAAAAAGAGCTTAAGTGAAGAAGCTGTCATTTCTCAAAAATATCACCTAGGAGATAGGATAGCTAATCCAACCTGGACAGTATGTCTACAGAATCACCCTTCTGGTCGTTTATTCAAGAGAAGTAGGTACATGTGGTGTATCCTGTTTACACTGTTTTAAGGAACAGGCAGCTCTGGTATTCCAGCTGACTCACTGAAACACACTTGTCCTGGTTTCAATAAATCCTGAGATATCTCATCCATACTGGTAGCTGACCAAGCCACTTCCACTATTAGTGCTAGCACTGGCACACCAGACAGCCATGCCAGGGCTTCATGACGAGGGGAAGACAGGCTACAAACAAGGAAAGAAAAAAAGATAGGCTACGAAGGGAGGTGGGCAGGGGGCCTGAAAACATAGCAAGGACAAAGTACAGAAGTTAAAAGGTACAGGTAGCATTTGGAGAGAGGAAGAAAGTGGACAGGGAACACAGAGCCACCCCATCCTTTGTGGTGAGCACAGGAGGCAAGAGGCCTTGGAAGAAGCAGTACAATGATGCAGCCTCCATACAGGCAAGCGATGCCTATTCTAGTCCCTACTGAGGGAGAGGGATGCATCAGGCAATGGACCAGTTCAGCTACCAGTACCCAAGGTCCCCTTCCCCTCTGCACACACACACGCAGGCAGTACCTGCAAGGCAGGCAATGGCCTGGCAGCTTTGACAGGCAGGAAGACAGGCCATACGTTACCTGCATGTAGGCCTGTTGGCACCTCTGCACCAGCTGGTGGAAGGCTGGGGTACGCAGGTGGTTGTGCACATGGGCAGGGTTGAGCCTCTGTAGAGCTTCCATGATGATCTCCTGGAGCACAAAAGGGCTCAGCACCCCCTTGGCTGCACCAACGCAAAACTGATGCACATAGTTTACACCTGCACAGGAAGGAGAAGTCAGAACAACAGCGTTAAGGTAAGAGGAACACAAGAAATCAGGTACCTCCCAGCAAAAACCTGGATTTGGAGCACCTTCTTCTCAGTGTAATGTATCCTCCAGCAGGCTCAGGGGAGACACTCTAGCAAACTCATGGGGACAAGAGATCATTCTGATATATCCATCAGGTCTGAGTAGAGACCAGGTACCACCTCAGTCACTGATATTCCCAGTTCACCTCTCTTTAAAGGGGATATGAAAGAAAACTGATGTGCAAGGTAACTACAGAAGCAAGGATACATGGCACCTCCTCCCACTGCTTCTTGCCTCCCCACCTAGGAAGCACCTAGACGCTCCAACACTCAGGCCTTAGGGAGCGTGGAGAGACAGTCAAGCTTCCCCACTGCTGCCTACAGCGGAGCTCCCCCAGCAGCAGCAGGAGAAGCCATGCCACTAGACAGGCTGTTTGCAGAGGTTGGGTTTTTTTAAGTTCTTACTGCTGATGAAAGAATTAAAAAAATGAACTGACAAAAAAGATCCAAGAGCAATGTGGAAGTAAAAACAAAACCAGAAAAACCAAACAATTGGTGGTTTAAGCACCTATTGCTATAAAAGGTCTTCACAGAAGGTATAAACCTACATAAGAAAGAGGAATACCTACAAGATAGTGGAAAGGGAAAAGAAAAAGTTGTTGTTATAGAATGGAAGAAATACAAGTTCTGAGCCCTGTCCAACCCCATGCACTTCATCCAGTGCCTCAAAATTCAACAGCACGCCTACAGAACCCAGAAATGGGACAACTGCCTAGATGAAAGAGCAGCAGGGATCTTCTGAAACATTCTCAGAAATTGGATCAGATATCAGGTTCACCCAATCTTTCACTCTTTGGAGAGCTTTTTCCCACCACGGTCCAAATCCCAGCAAGTGGATTTCTGCTGAAGTACTGCTCTGAGCCTTACCTAACTTCGCAGCTAACCCAAGGAGCCATTTTACATCCTCCGTGTAGGGTGGGCTGCGGGAGAAGTTGTTGGGATGGTCGTTGTGAGCTCTTCGGCCAAGCATCTCCAGAGCCAGCATCCCTGTGAGAAAGGGGCAGCCAGAGTCAAGCAGCACTTCTGCCCAGTAAGACTTAGTCTAGCACTTCACTCATTGCAACACAACCTGATTGGCCTGTCCTTCATCAGCAGAAAATTCCCTAGCTCCAAAGAGTCCAGAGGGAAACAAAAGGCCCATCTTGGAGCCTCTCACCACAGGAAGTATCTGCAAGAACATCTGGATCTGCTGCTCCAGGTTCGGAAATCTGCACTGCCATCACACCTCACTAGAGCTGCAAAGAGAGACTCTGCTAGCACCTACAGCAGGGTCAAGCAGATAGCCCCAAAGGCTGCACTACAAGAGGTGTCCTGAAAGCAATGCATTTGCTCCAAATTTTGCAGCAGAGAAGCTACGCACATCAACCTACTCAGCTACAAGACAACAAGCCAACGCTGAGCTGCAGTATTGCCAATCTGGAAACATTTCATTTATTCCACTACATTCTTCACACAAATCCACCCATTTAAAAAGTTTTAAAATACCAACAGGCACTATGTCTTGGTATTCCAGACCCTCTTCCCCCACCCGCTTCTCTGTTATTCAGACTATTAAATGCTTTTCATGGTTTACCACTTACCAGTGCGATGTTTCCAATGACATCTGCACCCCTTTCTGTCTAACAAGTACTTTCTACTCTAGCTTTCAACAAAAAAAAAAACTTCAAGCAACCTCCAGATAGCCCCCCTTGCATTTTCTTGCTGTTTCTCTTCGTTTGCTGCCCTGGGATGGCTTTGCTTATCTTAGAGGCTCCCTTCTCCCTCCCCAAGTATCCACTGGGTTGGACCACGACTATGTACGAGTAGCTTACTGCAGTCTTAAGCTCAATCACAAACCCCAAGACTGATATCCTTGTACCAACTGCAGTTCAGGCAGAGACTCTATTTCCTCATAACCAGCGTGACTGGGAAAAGAATGCTAATTACATACCCACTCCCCACAAAATATAAGTTCCTTCCATGTCAGTCTTCAACAATCTAGCTAGAGGGCACAGGGCACATCCCTCTGTGCCTCGGAAGACTCAACCGGTATTATTAAACTAGAGGTGTGCCTGCACCACCCATGAGGAGCAGGAGCTGAACTCCATTTTTTCGCATAGTCACAACTTACACAACCACATCCTCAGAGCCCTATCCAGACTCCTTTGCATACACCTGCTGAAAGGCAAGACTCTTCCCAGCTCTAACCCACTCAGTTTTCTCTTCTACGCTGACGGCTCTCAACAGCAACTGTTCAATCTTCTATTGCTTTGTCTCCATCTTTAGCCTCCACATATGATCATGAACTGGCTTTCCCCATGTAGCTAAGATGCCATCACCCCCAACCGGTGCAGTAGCAAATTGCCAAATAATAGTGAAAACCTGCAGCCTTGCCCTGAATCCCTCTCGAAGGGGCCATAGAAACCCACTTGGCCGTCCTTACCAACTCGGTATGCGGAGTGGAGGTAGTGCAGACCCTGGGGGCTCACAGGCTGACTGTGCTGCTCATCCTCGGCAGGAAAACCCCCTGTAACAAGGGAGTTGGGCTGTGAGGACAGAGTTGTCAAGGAAGCCCCCTGAATCGCTGGGAACGTTGATCCTGCATGGACACTTCCTACTGAAGAGAGCAAAACAGCAGCATTAGGACCCACCACCAGCCTAAAAGAAGGTTTACTTGGGCCATCATCTCCCTCACCTGACCGCCCCGGACAACGTAGTGTTCTGTTCCCCTAAACAGAACAATACAGCAACCAAAAACTACAGACATACAACTGAAATACAATAGGCCAGGAATATCTGTATTTTGTTTGCAAGTAGGGCCTGAAGGGGGTCAGTTACACGGTTGTCCATCTCTTTTGCAGTATACCATGAACATGCATATCATCCATGTTTTACATGTAAATACATGTGCTGTCTCAAAGGTCTTTGCTATTATTAAATGACATGTCTGGTTCTGATTTCTTGTCCAAGGAAACAAGCATGTGCATGTCTACACCTGATGAGAAACTGCTGAGGAAAATCATTGAGCAGGAGCAGTATTAAGTCACTCAAAGATAAAGTCCAACATTGTGAGGTTCCTCCACTTCTGCTGTAAGACAGCTATGGCTCCATCCAGCTACCACGCGGGAAGAATGTTACTGGAGGCTAGCCTCCAATCCATCCTTGGAAAGAACAGCCATTGCATACACTGGCAGCGCGTACCAACAGCAAAAACAGTAAGGAAACTTGAGAAGCTCTGTCACATTCAGACTCTTAACTAGCATGGGCAAAATCAAGGGAAATCACAGGAAAATCCATTACATTGTACCACCTAACCTTGTATAGACAACAGTTAATACTGAGCCAGTAAGCTGTACTCTGACAAGGGACTCAAGTTTATCTAAGTTTCCGTCTCGAGAAAGGTATGGAGAGGAAAAAGCAAGGTTTGCCCGAGAATTCCAGAGCAGAGATGCCATTAGGTGCGTGCACATTGTTACCCTTATTTCACAGCTTCTCTGTGGTGCTACTACACCAGCTTGGGCAATGCTCCAAGTTCCGATTTCTCCTCTTCCCCTGCCACCTCCAGCATTTTTTTTTTTTAAATGTTTACTAGTGAATAGTTGAATACCTGAGAACAATGTGCCTCCCAGGAAAGATCTGTCTGACCTCCTCAACCAAGCAGACACACAGTGCCAAACAACCCACAAAGTGGGGCAAAATCCATGCTGCATTTGAAGTCTGGCCAAGGAGAATAACCCGTAAGAATGAGCTGAATTGTTGCCAGAGCTCAAGCATCATCACATGACTACGTACTCCAGGAACAGTGAAACAGTATTTTAAGAACTGAAAACAGAAGTTTATGTAAGCTACAAACAATGGCAACTGGAAAGGGTGGAGTTGTTTTTTCCTTTCATTATTTTAAGTGCTCTAGGATGAGTTAGCAGTTCTGGAAGATTCATAACTCTTTGGAGTGGTACAGAAATGGTTTCTCACAATTAAGAGTCACAGCATCAGCCCAGGACTAAGGCTGTCAAGTAAAGGATGCTTTTCAGATCCTGAGGCTTTCAGGACTATTCTAATTGCTTTTGTGGTGGCTTTTTGGCATTAAAATGCAAGATAAAAATAACTGAAAAGATTCTCCTGATAATCTGGATGTGAAGGAGGACAACACAGCTCTTAAGTGTTGTGTTTTCCCATGTACCAGTCTTCCAGCACCTGGTGAGTTGCAAAGCACTGATAAGCAAATGTACAAATAGGCAAACATTACAGCCTCTCCAGTAAGGGGATAACAGAGCCTGGGTCAGCCATGACCCACTGGTGCAAAACCCCATGGCAATGAGAGCACATCCACAATTCAGTCAACATCTGCTGCTCCAGTGCTGCACACTGCTTGATGGGTCTTCACCACCACTGTGGCCCCAACACAACATGTGAGCAATCGTTCAGATTGCCATTGACATGATCCTGCCAAAACACCTGTCCTCTCTACAGAAGTTCCACATTTCGGGTACTGGCTGCCTTCAATCCCTTCGGGCAGGAAAGACATCTATTAGTACTACTGTAGCAGAAGTCTGCCTGCTGCCTGCTTCCTGCACTCTCTGTTCATCTGACCCAAAGGAACCACAAGAGCCTGCTCAAGATCATCTATGCTCATCTTGCCCTAAGGAGAGGGGGAATAAAGCTCTAATAAGTTAGAAGTCACAAAGGCCAGGAGGGTTCCAAACACACTTTAGTCTGAGAGGCCAAAAAAATCTCATACTGGAAATTTAGCTAAACAGAAATTAAAGCTCCACTAGCTGAATCAGACCCCATTATGAATCCCAGTACCCGCGAGCATGCGCATCTTTAGGCTGGGGTAGATTTGGTCAGAACTTTTCAGTGCAAGAACCCTGGTTCCACCTGCGGTCAATGAGGGGCAGGACTCGACTGGGGTACAGCTAGGATGCACAGTAAATAAACCTATGCTATGCACAGCCCAGGGCTGTAACACTTACTCGCTACATTGGAAGACAGTGACAGTCCTGTCTCACTGTGATAGGGATGCACTGCAATCTGCGTCATGGATGGGACCGGCACACCAGGGAATGACACTGCTGTAGCTGCCAACGATGGTGTTGTTACCGAGTAAGGGTACTGTGCTCCTATGAATGCTGGATGGACACCCTAAAACAGAAAATAAGTAACAGTCATGTCTACTTCACCTGGCCATTTAGAAGTAGTCCAAAACATGATGTCCCCACACAAACCCCAGAGCATTCAAAGTCCAGTCTGACCGGGAGGAGGAAGCACAGGAAGAATCAGCACAGAAACTATGTTGCACCACATGACCATTACATCTTCTTGCTCCTCCTCCTTTTAAATCTAATCAGTTTGCAGAGAACCACTCCAAGAACTTTCAAAAATAGGCAGAGGTTAAAATAACCTTTGTTTGGTTTTCCCTCTGTAGTCTCTATTTAGCCTGCAAGCTCTCAAGAAGACAACCTTTCTGTCCAGTGCCTTCTGAGAAACTATAGAGCAATAAAAATTAAAAACTACTGATGTATTATATTTTGTATTCTCTTGAGACTTTACATGCACCCACAGAAGGCTCCTTATAATGCAAAAGCTGAGCTGAGGAGCCAAAGAACGTATCGCAAATCGGCAAGTGAGAGCAGAAGCTAGATCTCAAGCCACGGCAGGTCTGAGCCCCACACTCTCCCCAGTCAGATGCACTCCTTCTGGAAGCAGCCACACAAAGTCACCGTAAATGAACAAGGCACAGGTAAAACTCACCTGCGGGTACGCTGAGCCAGGCACCGGGAAGACAGCTGGGCGCGGCATGTGCTGGATAGTGTGTCCAATATACTGGGGATTACAGGGGATGTGAGTCTGAAGGGTGGTGTAAGGGTGGAGGCCCTGCGTGTGTGTATGTGCCATTGCCGGCCCTGCCATTGTATGCTGCTGGTACATGGTCGACCCCACAGAGATCACCGGCATGACTGTTGCTGCCGCAGTTACCGCAGCTGCCACTGTTACAGTGGTTGGCTCAGAGGTCACCCGGTTGTCTGTCAACCCACGTGCTGCTTCAGAGGCAGCCCGTGCACCACTGGCACTGCAGGGGCCAGTGGCACCTTCCCTCTGGGCTGGGGTCCCACCAACAGTCTGTTCGTAAAGCCAGTACCACTGGTGAGCTACTTCAAAGAGGACTTCTGGGTACACACCACCTCCTTTGGCTGCCTCTTCTACTGCCATACAGGCCTTTTCCAGCATCAGATTGTCCTGGGGGCAGTGAAAGAAAAGCAGAAGTGAAGAATGCAAAACCAGAAACACAAGAAGGCAAAACTACAACAGGAGAAAAGTATAAGGCACTCTAAAATGACTGACGCTATGGGGAGCAGACAGATCACAACTATGCAGCAGAATAACCAGAGTTATTCATGAAAGATAAGAAATCCACAGAACTGGGATTAAGGCTGTCCGGTGGCAGAGGAACCAATCCCACAAGTAACAGCACGTCCTTGATGCCGAAAATCAGCTTGCACTAGCCAGTCCCCATGTGATACTCACCTGTTCTTTACACTGCACCAGAGCCCTCTGGATCTCATTTGGGTTCAGGGCATGGGCATGGGGCAGGCAGCTGAGTGCCAGTTCAGCAGCTGCCCGCACCATGTTGGAGTCTCTGGCCCGTGAAGCTCTGTCTGCCAATGATGCTACCTCTGGGGGTGTCAGATGTCCATCCCAACACTCCACCAAGATGTTCAAGGCTGCGCTACCAATCTCCATGGCCTGCCCTAAGAGTAAAAGAGAAGACTCTCACACCGCTGTATGCCCAGAGCAGTTCCAGTCAGCTTTCCCTCAACAGGAGTTGCACTCCTCACTTCCTTCAGGAGCAGCAACAGAGCCCAGTTGCTCCCCTTAGGCTCTAAGTCAAATTTAGGCTCTTCCTCCCAAAACAGAGGACAGGCAAGAGCCCTCAATAAGCAAGCAGTGAGTGAGGGTACCATTATCAAAGTTAAGCTAAAGATGCATTTGAGGCAGTGAGAGGAACTTGCTATAGCTGATTTTAGTACCCACAAACCACAGCCTGGACTGTCGCTCTATTTCCATCGTGTCAGGAAAATACGACTTTTCAAGGGTGTGTTTTTCAGGCTCTAGAAGCCATGTGGATAGAAAGTAGGTAGTCTGGGTGCAAACAGAAGAAGGAAGAAAGTGAAATTCTGAACACAGCCAAAGAGCATGTTCAAACTTGACAAATGTCTGTCTCTTCAGGAGCCCCCCCGAAGGAGAAGTTAAGACCAGTCTCTGTGTGAGAAGTGGCCTATGGCTCTGAAGACTGAAGGATGTTGCAGTATAAACAAGAAGAAACAGGTCACAGGAACTTTCCAGGCCAAAACAAGCACCACCATGTAAATCACTGGTGCTCAGCTTGTACTGCCAGCTGTGTCAGCCAGCTTACATGGATACCACAGCACATCAGCATCACCATTTTTGGGCATAAGCTCGCCTCCCCCCTCTCCTTCCTGCCCAAAAAACAAGCTTCCCAATAAAGTTTTGCTGTAACCTGTGATCCAAGAGACATGGGAGGAGTAAGTTCGAGAGAGCCAGTTGGGAGACACGAAGTTGTGCAGCCCTAGTGCATACAGCCCAATCTCGAAGGCGCAGAGGTGAAGGTTGCGGTGTGGTCCCTGGTGCCCACCACTGGAGGAAGGGTGGGTGAAGATGGAGGTACTGCTGTTTCCACCTGCTTTGATAAGGACTGTCTTGGCCAATTCAAAGTAGAAGTGAGCAGCTGCTTCTGAGGGCTGGTTTGGGACATGAGGAGCATGGCTCTCCAGCCGCCTCCCTTTATACCTAAAGGAAAAAGATAGAGGAACCTTTCAGACAGCAACAAGTACCCCAAGTTCACTAGCTGGGGTGCAGAGTTCCTGTCTTTAGGGTCCAGAGGAAACAAAGCAAACGCTCCCAAGGAAGTACTCCCTGATGCACACTTGCCCTGACATCAGGCCTAGAGGTTGCCTCCATGCATTGGTATTGTTCATTACCTGCCAACTTCCACAGTCTTTGCACGGGCTCCCCCACTGGCTCTCCTACTGCCACTGGAAGAAGAAGATCCCAGCGAATCACTTGAAGAACTGCTGATGCTGTCACTGTCCTGTCCTCTGCCCCAGGATGTTGTTGCCCATCCCCCACGTAGCGGACGCCGACTGAGCGTTGGAGAACTGTCAGAGGTGGTTTCAGGAGCGCTGCTGTCAATACTAGCCATGCCTACAACACCAGAACCAACACAGTAATGTCACCAGGGTTGGTAAATGTCCCAACTAAGATCAGTCGTGTCAGTGACAGTCAGCCTTACAGTTGCCAGGCATTCAACTTTGCAAATTAAGAGAGATTAAATTAGTCAGTTTGGCCATAGATATCAGTGTCATTTTGGAGTTCTTGGATTAAAAAGCAGAAGAGTCCCAGAACAATGTATCTTTATTTCCCCCTTCACACCATCCCAGCCCCTCACTCCATCTGCCAAGCTTTGTGGCAGAATATAACAACAAGAAGCAAATATACATACAAAGTCAAGTTCCACAGATTGTACGAGTATGAAGAAAACCCTTCTGGTATATGCTGCACTATTTACACAAAGGTTCTTCACATCTTCAGCCTCTAAATTATACCCTTCCCAAGAGAAGTGTAGAGAGGCAGCAGCTCCTCTGAATTTGTTTCTGGACCCAGGAGCACAGTGCTCCACTCCCAGAGCCCAGCAATCATTCGGCTCCAGATATCTAATCCAATCACCCAGAACACATCTGGCGCAAGAAAGGTATGGTAACTTGCCATACAGACAGGGGCAGGAAATCTGTGGAGCAAAACCTATATCTCCTTGCCAAACACCTCAGAGACAATGAACTGCTTCAGTAGTACAGGAAAGCCTGACAAGTGGAATGAAAGAGCAAGGGAATTGCTGAAACCCCAGCAAGCTGCCTAGCACAGCACTAGATGCTGTATGAATTAGTCAGTTCCTACCTGTGTGTTTCTTCTTCTGCCTGACAGGTGAACCCCAGCATCTCCCATTGTATCCACCTCGGTTTCCAAGGGCCAGACGACTGGGGACCTTTCCCTCTTGTTTCAAGACAGTGGACTCCACAGCTGGCTCACAGGGGGACCTCTGAGAGCTCTCTACATAAACAGGACAGTGACAAGGTAAACATTATGATTTGTTTCTGTATCTCTAAAACCAGATGTGGCCATTAAAAAGATAAACATCAAAAGATGCAGGATTTTTATAAAGTGAGTGGTATTTATGAGCAAGATTATCTCAATTTTCTTTCAGTATTAAGCATATCATCCGAGACCGGGCCAATTTGCTACAACTACGGAAAAATTTTAGAATAAAAATGCTCCAGCAACCATAACCTTATTGAAGTCATCCTCAGCTAGTATTGATCTCTTTGGGAAGAGATAAGAGAGCATCTGCTTTCCTCCAAATGCTGCTGTATGTGATGTTTGCCACTGAAGTGGAGGCACAGCTGGAAGAAAACCACATTTATCTCTAATGCCCTTCAGCAATCTTAGTTATTTATCCTGCAGGAAGGTACCTGACTCAGTGTGTAACTTTTTGAAATACTGCACCTCTGTGATACAAACCTAAAAGATGGAGTCACAGTAGTTTTATGTTAACTGGTTATACAACTGGCTCAAGATAGGAAAACCTGAAAATTAGCTTGCATTTCTATGCAACAACAATGTGTACCGAAATGCATCCAGCATAACAGGTAACAGGGGAACGACATTCTAGTAACCACCAAGTAGCCAGATGGTAATACAAATCACTCTGACTACTTCCGAAAACAGACACAAATGTACAGTGACAGTTTTGCACTGATAACAGAAGGGTTTCAGCATAGGCCTTACACAGCACCTCTTACCCTGTGCGCTCTTCTCCACGAAGTTCTCAGGACTGCTCTGGACTGCAGTGCTTACAGCAGCTTGCTGAGTGACAGAAGTCCCTGGAAGCTGCTGGATCGCTGCAGTGGACTGGGCAGCATGTTTGGAAGGAGATTTTTGATTTGCTACTGTAGGTTTGCTGGATGAGTAGAAGGAACTCAGAGTCTGTGGTTTGTGAGTTTGACTCTCTCTGTCTAGGAGTTTGTCTAAAATCTTTAACAGCAAGGAAAAAACAAAAATGAGGCGGCATTACACTCTGACACAGAGGGAAAGTACCAAACCAGCTTCCTGGTGGACAATAAATCCCATTTGGTTGGAAAAAAGAGACAATGTTTGTTCTCTAGAAAGTCGGCACCATCTTCCTGCACTGAAGATCAGCGATGCACAGTTGAGAGCCATGTGGCCAGCATTACTGAAGAAGCAAAGATTCATTTGTACTCAGTAATATCCCCATTTTCACTTCAAAAAGCCACTGCCTTTACTTGGAAAGCACCCAAAACTCACAATACAGAAGTAATTCTGGTACACCAAGGACAGAACGGAGGACTCTATATTTAGTTCTGCCAGTCCTTAGATGTTCTTGTTTAAGTAACCAAAATTCTTTGCTCACCATCCAAAAAATCCTGTCATACCATTACTGAAAAACTGGTAAAGCCTTCTGAGACTTTCAGACACTAGAGAAACTGCCTTCTACCAGCCTACAATAACACTTTCTTATCCTTACTTATTATGTAATTGGGGAACAACGCATGACCACATTTTATGGGTTTGTCCATTTCTACTGTTCATTCTCCACACGAAATGAACACCACAACTGTGACAGAGCATTTATTTGCAGATGACTGATACCACAATGTCCCTGTTATTCCCTGTAGAAGAGAAGAGTATAGCAAAAGTGCTTCTACTTTAGGAGACAGAAAGACACTAATAATATTCTTACTGGGTAGAAGTGTTTCTGAATATAAAAGATTATTAAAACCCTTCCTAAAGCTTCAGCAGTTTTTGATATTTTTTCCTCCTTTGGGGTGGAGGGGGTAGAGTTTTACTATCTCTCTTACATGGGAAGTTAAGGCACAGGTGGACTAAACTAGTATATCAAAGAGGTGAAAGATTAAGAAACAAAGGCTTTGCTAGATATACTGTTCTGCAAGCCAACGTCCCTGCAGCAAAACAGAATCAATCCCCAGACCACACACACAGTGCACACTGAAAACCCCTGGGACAAAGGACTTGTTTTAGCAGGTAAGCAAAAGCATTAAAAGCAGTGAGAACGCATCTCCCAACTGGACCTTAAGAAACCCATGGGAAGAGTGCCTCTTCCAGGGCCATGCCCACTGCGCAATCAGATTTTGCATCAGTGGAAGAATATAAATACTGCAACGTAGCTTGTAAATCATCAGAACATGACAAAGCAATTTATGCTCACTGGCAAAACTATCAAATCCATCAAAATCCAAACATGGATTTTTTAGCCTGCGGAAAAGGAGGCTGAGGGGAGACCTCATCGCTCTCTACAACTCCCTGAAAGGAGGTTGTAGCGAGGTGGGTGTCGGTCTCTTCTCCCAAGTAACAAGTGATAGGACGAGAGGAAATGGCCTCCAGTTGCGCCAGGGGAGGTTTAGATTGGACATGAGGAAAAAT